GAATGTATAGCATATTTTTTAATAAGGCAACAACATATGATAGATACGATAGGACAAAACAAATACAGTGCAGCATGAACTGTTTATATACAGTCTGAGCACGAAGCGCTTAAAATGTGCACATCCAGTGTGCAGAATGATGCGCTTGAAGCAACATGGCATCACAGCCTGACGCCGTGTTGCTTCAAGCGCATCATTCTGCACACCGGATGCGCACATTGTAATCGCTTCGTGCCAGAAACTGCAAAGCACAAAGGGAAGAGAAATTGATGCGTAGTGTATTATATCTGTGCAACTGTTATTGAGCCTTTCTTTAAACAGTTTTAAATTTGAGTTACTGTGCAAGTTAAAAACAATTTATAGTCTTTTCTACGCCCGTGTTTTGTTCTCACAGACACATATTCATATGTAGCTCAAATATTCATATGTACCTCACATTAAGCTATTGTATGGCTTCAGAAGTAACACAGAATAATTTGCAAAAAAAATCTCGGATTTGGATCGGCCCTCTCTGACCGATACCTGATCCGAGAAAAATGGCATTATCGAAGACGATACCCGATATGAATATCGGATTGGCGCATCCCTAGTTAAAATGAATTTGCGTTAATGTGTTATTAACGCGTTCTTTTTGACAGCCCTAATAAAAATGTATCAAAATGACCAATATTTTGTATAGCAATTGTCTGCTTTACAGGTGCATCTCAATAAATTAGAATGTCGTGGAAAAGTTCATTTATTTCAGTAATTCAACTCAAATTGAGAGAATAAGGCAGAAAATATATTTTATAATTTCTATACTGTAATAAATGTGTGTGTCTCTAATTAACGCAGTCTCGTATATTTGTATATGTAACGTTATAGCATATGTGACCGCAAGGAATCGCTGGTTTATAATAGCGAGTAGATTACAGAATATAAAGCAATAAAAAGAAGGATACAATTTCCGGATTATATGTTGAGTAATAATGCTTGAATATAAAAAAAGAATAACAAATCAGAAAAAAATATACAGCGTCGGTGGTACCCAGTGGCAAAAAAGAAAAACGTGGTGGAGGGCACGAAAGATATTTCCTATTGAAATACATTAGATGGAAATTCGTGCTGAGTGACACGAAAAAAGAGGGAAATTCGTGTCCATGAACACGAATCAATAGATTAAATTTCGTGACTATATCACGAACTGCTGTGAGACTGGGTTGTGCATACACGAAAACCTGCAGTTTGCGCTTTGGCATGATTAATAAATGCATATTATTTCTCAAAAGGTGTTTGCAGACGAACATTGCGGGTTTTACGCTAGCAGTAAATGCATGCTGTACATTTATACACTTATATATGGGTAGCGCCAAGAGATTACACAGCTGTACCATTAAAAGCTCAGTTTGTTGGCCACAATTTCATACAAGTTCACATAAAAACTCACCTGCTACCGACGTGGTCAAAACGAAGACAGAGACCTGTTTATGTTCGCACTTTGATGGTGAAACGTTCTACAAAAAAGGAAAGAAAAGAAAGAAAGATATTTTTGCACAGAATGTTCTTTCTTCAATCTCAAATGAGTTTCCGCTCTCTACCAACGAACACTGTGAGGAAACTGCGCGTCGTGCAGTGTCAGCGTTTTTTTATGATTATTATTTTGCTTTGTAATTTTAGGGGTTATTTGTTGGTTTAATTAACTGACATAAAATGTGTAATGAAAAAGCAGGAATATTGTACATACTGTAATGAATTCAGCCACCACTAGGGGTCACTGGTGAGCTTCCTTATGGCGGATATAACACCTATGCTGCCACCACCTTTAATTCTAACCCGGTCTGGTCCGGGAGGAGCACTCAAAACACACTCAAGAGCAGGGATTACAAAAGAATACACTTTTTATTAACAATAGCAGCCGTTTGGCATGGTCCTACTTAAATATCCTGATTACATACACTGGTCATGTTATTTCATTAAACCGTGAACACACATTTAAAAGAGAACCCGAGTACTCATTCCAAATTCACAGCAAACAATAAATAGTGTGAAATCTCATGCAAAACACACTTAATTAGAAACTCCAAGCATAAATCACATGCCCTATGTGTAATAACCAGCACAGGCAATCAACGTACAATTCGGGAGGACAATAATCACCAATGACTGGGCACCACAACAACACACATAAATCTTATAGAATTAAAATTATTTCGGACTTCCCTGACCAGGTCCGACGACACCCTGCCGTCACTGTGAGGACTCAACCTTCCCCTCCCAATGATAGGAAGGTCTCCTTCAAAAGGCCTGCCAGGTCCACCTACACTCTCTTCCCTATCTACCTAAATTTCCCCCCACTATCTACCTCCGGGCCAATAAGTGGGACCCCGGTTTTCTTCACGCCGGTGGTGCTAGCCAACCACGAACGCTACGGATCCCCTTCTTTTGTGAACCCAGCAGGCTTAAAAAACACAGAGTATCAGTCTCTTTCACAGTTAATTATCAGACAACAGAGCGTGCTCACCTTTCCCCTCCCCCCCCTTTTAAAAGTATCCAAGAATTGTTCATTGTCCACAGGTGTGCTCGAAGACATCACTCCTTCCGTATTTGTCCGTAGCAGTGACGTCACGCACCGTCAATCGAATCATAATCATTACAATACATTTGCAGGTGTGAGGTGTGTGCGTCTTCCTTTTCTTCTTCTTCTTCTTCTTTCTCCAAGCAGAAAAAAAAGCCTTTCTATCATTGGTCAGGTTTCCTGCTCATTTTTTTTTACTGTATTTGGATTTACAGTAAATTAAAAATACTGTATTTTAATGGCGCCAAGAGGATATTTCCCATAATGCAATTTTAAAATACAGTAACATACTATGTAACTGTTTTACAGTAAAGTACAGTTCATATTACAGTTAAATACTGTGAAATTTACAGAAATCTCTTACAGTGTAGCAAGTACCAAATACATGCGTTTCAAATAAATGTTACACATACGGCTGCTACTGCTGTTGTTGTTGTTCTTTCAATAAGCAAATTTAAAAGGTATACAATAGGCCTAAATGAAATGCCAAAAGAACATACAATAATAAACCTTTGTTTTTATCAAATCATGACACCACATAAAATCTAAAAAGGTGTAATAATTTATCCAGTTTATTCAAATAAATGAAAACTGATCAAATTAAGTAACAAACAGGTTTGTGTTATTGAGATGACTCCAAAATTTGTTCCACGTCATGCTAAAGTTTTCAGATTATGAGCCATTCACACTTAAAGACTGATAATGGGAATGGAATGGTTCTGTAAACATGATACTTGACTCTGAACTGCTGCTAATCATTATTCTTTTGTCTATAATATTCTTACCATTGGTACCCGTGTCTCACGCATAGATACACCA